CCCCCGTTGTGCACCTCCTCTCCCGCTTCCCGTGCTTGCGGTTTACCATTTGACCCTAATTTTCCCTCTCTTTTTTCTTTCTTTCCGGTTTCCTCCCTCCTCCCAACTCTCCGTCCCCAGATTGCGCCTGTGTGGGAAGTACAGCGAGTGTCGAGTGCGAATTCGACCGCGTGCGTACCTTTATCCACGCCGGCCTCCGCTAAAACACCACCCCCCCCTTTCTCCCCTCGCCTCACGCTCCCTTTCGTGTCGTTCCTTCTCGCCGCCTCCGGGTCAATTCGTCGGCGCGCTTTAATTCCGGCCAAGACAGTGCAACTGTCTCGTCTGCCTCGACAACCTGCACGCCAACGGAGGGTTTTGTTTGATTTGTTTCTCACCATCCACCGTCATAATGTCGCTCTTTGCTTGGTGTAGCCGGCGCGCGGGGGGGCTGGCTATGCTTGCCCTCATCGCGCTCTCGTACTGGGCCATCACCACCGAACTCGACTCTCAACGACATGGCTACAAGTATCAGTCAGTAGACAGTCTTAGCGCGCCAACTTACGACCCCCAGGCCGCCGGCGTCTGGGCCAAGCTGTTCTCGTATTACTGCCTCTTCATCCACGTCCTCGTCTTCGTCTTCCCGATCCGCTCTTGCTGGGCCGTCTTCAGCATCACGAGGAGCCTGCGCCGCACCGCTCACAGCAAGACACTGAAGGACTTCAAGTTCGGCCACGGCCGCCGTGGCTCGTCCACCTCGCTGTCCAGCTCCGAGACTCTCACATCGTCGCGGGACCTCAGCTCGACTTCGAGTAGCGAAGCTGGAGACGTCGACTCGGACTACTATGGCGAAGCCGATATTGCCCCCGATCGCGTCATCCATGCCATCATCGTCCCGAACTACAAGGAGGAGAACGACACGCTGAGAGAGACATTGGAGGTTCTGGCTTCGCATCCCCAGGCTCGCAACACGTACGATGTGAGTAGACTTTTTCCCAACGAGGTTCCGGGGATTCAATTCCCTGAGCTTCTCGTTCCCGCGACCTTGCCAACTGAAGTCTGAATTTGGATTCTACGGCTACAAAGCATCAATACTGACAATGTCCAACCAGGTCTACCTCGCCATGGAGCAACGGGAGCACAATGTCGAGCTCAAGGCTACACGTTTTACAAACGAGTTCTCGAAGAAGTTTCGCTCAATTGACTTCACCATCCACCCTGGAGACATTCCCGGCGAGGTCGCCGGCAAGGGCAGCAATGTGGCATGGGCCGCGCGTAAACTCAGCGAAAAGTACTCAATCGGACAACGAAAGGACGTGATCGTGACTGGCATCGATGGTACGTGCAGCGCTCCTTCGGCTCTGTTACAGGCGGGTTTTTAGGCTTATGCACGTCATAATTCGCTGACCAAAATATTTCCAACTACAGCCGACAGCCATCTCTCCTCCAATTACTTCGCGCTAGTTACCACTATGCACATGGCTTACCCCGACACGGCTACCACGACCTTGTACTCGGCCCCCATCATTTTTGACAGGAACGCCCACAACGTGCCCGCCATCGTTCGTGTTGCTGACATTCTCTGGTCTGCGGCTGGCATGTCCGGGTTGTACAAGGGTTCGACCATTGCGCCTCCGACGTCTGTCTACTCTTTGCCCCTCGAGCTGGTTGACCGTGTTGGCGGCTGGGATTGCGACCAAGAGGCCATTGGCGAGGACCTGCATATGTATCTCAAGTGCTTCTTCGCCCTGAACGGCAATCTTACCGTGAGGACAGTTTTGAGCCCCGTCAGTCAGACCAACGTCACGGGCGGCGGCCACGGCAAGGGATACCCTGGAATCATTGCCGACGTTCGCGCTCGCTACAAGCAGGCCCTGCGCCACATGTGGGGAGCATTGGATACTGGCTATGCTCTTCGCAAGGTGGTTGAGCTATGGAAAGAGCGGAAGCACACTTCCAGGGCTTTCCGGCCTCTGCATACTTCGATGTAAGTTCACCGATGGGTCTCAATGCTGCCATGTTTGCAACAATACTGACACTCTAATTAGGAACGACGACTCTGATACCTACGTACCGGAAACCCAACTCGACAGCGCGACCTCCGAATTCACTGCCGAGAGCGGCATCTTCTCTGATGTCGTCACCGACACTCTCAAGTCGCCCGACTACGAACGCCTTTTGTCCCTGTTCCACCGCCTTTTCGAGGCTCACTTCCTGCCCGTGCAAATGACGATCCTTGTCGTTGCTTCGACGCTGTACATCTGGGTCACGGAAGGGAACGCCGACGTGCACGGAGTTGCCTGGATTTACCCAGTCTGCAATGTGCTCCGAACTCTTGGCTTCATGGAGGTCGCTCTCTACCTCTTCCTCTACGAGAAGTTCCACAAGATCTGCCTCGAGACGCGCGAGAAGGAGATGAGCGACGCTGGCCTCTTGAAGGGCATGCATTTTTCGCGGCGCGATTTCAAGACGAACCTGGTGGACTATGTCATGGTTCCGCTCGTCGCCCCGATATTCGGCGCCATCCCTTGCGCGCAAGCGCAAATATTTCATTTCTGGACCTTGGACCTCGTATACACAGTTAGCAAAAAGGTTACCCGACGGAGAGGGAAATCCTTGTCTGCACATGCGATGGTATAGCACCGTTTTACGCCTCACAACTTTTTTAATCTTCTCCGGTAACCTATTACCCTGTTCGATTCTCTGGGCTTTGGTGCCGTACCGTCAAAAGTTGACGTGAAGTAGCGAGAGTCTCGCCCTTCCCGAGCCACCGATTTTTGTTTCTCGGTATCTTTTTTCACTTTTTTTTTACAAAGTCAATCGGCGAGCATGTGTGTTTTGTCGGAGATTCCTTCGGCCTTGTTCATTTTTCTATAAACCTTGGTTCGTGAGGCAGGCTGGTGCGTGTAAATAAAGGGGACATGATGTTGATATGCATGGCATGGCATCGGCATTTGGCATCTAGATTTGGGGGTTCGACTTCTTTTGTTTTTTTGGGCTTTACCGGAGTTCTTGGAGCAGAGGAGAGACATTATACCGCAGGGAGACATCAATCATGGGCGATATCCTACCTGCTGGCACCATTCGCTTACAAAACAAACTCAACGAGGGGGAAGAGATGGCAAGGGCCCACCGGACGATGGATGGACGAGGACACTGGGAAAGACGACCGAATTACCAAGACTACCACGACAAAGGGCGCCCGGCCACCTGTTTTGTTAGGCCGGTTGGGTTACAACTAGCCCCAGCGGACAAAATACACCGATCAAGAAGCGAGAGGGCCTTGCACAGTCGAGAGGCGAAGGCTATGGATTGATTAATACCTTCTAGCCGCTAATATCTAATCATGTACATAGAGGAGACATAACGCACGGCACCGCCTCAGCGCGGGGGAGCATGACGGCGTATGGTGTTACAGGAGGAAGTGGGTTGGTGGGTGGTGCGGAGGAGTACTGGGGGGGTTTGCAGGAGCACGCGCGGGGCTTTCGCGAGAGGCAACGCTGCACGATTCTCGTCCCTCGGGGAATGCAAAGGATAGGTAGCTTTCCTGTATCGCTTTGCTGCTTGTTTGTCTCTTTTGAGGCAGGAAGCTCAATATCCATCTCCAAAACATTAGTTGAGAAGAAGAAAAACAAATTCAAAACACACTCGCTTTGGCATATTCAATCGTGGTATTTCCCCCTCTCTCTCAATCGACTTGGTTGCTGTCAGACGTGTATATGCAGTACCTGCTTTCCTCGCTGCCAACAGGCCAGTAAAACGATCGACGAGAAGGGTTACCCTATGAGAATTACAACTATTCGTCAATCGTCCAAAATCGACTCCAAGAGGATTTGCATGGGAACCGGGCCTTGGCACAGCGGGCGGGTCGCGTCGAGTAGGATTTTGACATGACACTGAATGAAGAAAAAAAAGGGTCAGCACTTGGATGACGCCCCGGCGCGGCGCGCGGGCTGCGTAAGCCTCGGTCCCTCGATCCATCCATCCATCCATCCATCCATCCATTCAAGTTTCCCTTCCCAATGTGGTGCGCCTCTTCCGTGCATTTGGGAAGGAAAAAGTCTTGGCGGGCAGGAAACTGACGCGTCTTTCCATGCAGGTTGCGGATTTACGTTCGTTTTGGTCCTTTGGGGAGGGGTTTGTACCATTTTTTTTTGGTCAACTTTTCCTTTTTTTGCAGCAACTGCAACTGGGCGGAGCGTGTGAGGGAGAGACTAAGGTAAGGTAACGTAGTAGTGATACACGCACAAAGCGTACTTGAACTTGTTTTTGGATTGTCTGTGTCAACTAATGGGATAGCATTCATTGTCTTTTTAGGGATATTTATTTTATCTTGATTTTCCTTTTTAATTGTCTGGGGGGCTCAACCTGCCTGTCAGAAGTGGAATCTGTGTGCCAAGAGCCGGTCAACCAATGTCTCGTCCGTCATGTGTGTGTGTTACTCTATCAGCTCGTAATAGATAGGATCCTCCTGTGAGGCTGTGTGAATATAATGTAAGCCGAGTTTGCCTTGGCTGAGACGGGCCGGCGCGGCTGCTGCTGCTGCTGCTGCCGTGAGGTGAGATGTATATATAGAAGGTAGCCCGGTAAGGTATATGGGTATTGGTAAGTCATCATGTCAGGAGGAGGGGCGGGGGTGCGGGGGGAGGCCTTGAAACATGCCAGAAGCACATATTACAGATAGATGACTGCTGCTGTCACAGCCACACATACACATAGGTACAGTACAATGCAGGCACTTTCGTCTGCTGAGATTCTACTATGGTATCGTTTGTTCGCCCGCCACGTTCCCGTCTCTTTTGGGACACAACTTTCTTCTATCTCATCCCCAAACGTGGTGAGGGGTCTGCCGAAAAGGGGAGAACAAAGGAACGGCACGTGACTAGGCCCACTCACAGCAATAAGAACTAGGGTAGTTTAGTTTTCTAGTTTCTTCCGAGCAGCTAGCTTTCTTCATATGCAGCTTGAACACACACTGTCTCCATCGAAAAGCCAACAAGATATCCTGACTTGATTAATTCGGCCTGCTGGCTCAATGGTAGAGCGTCTGACTACGAATCAGGAGGTTCCAGGTTCGAGACCTGGGTGGGTCGTGTTCTCTTCTTTTCGTCTCTCACTCGATCAATTGTTGCAGTCAAGATGATTCTTTTTGCCTCAACTACTGAGCTGAACCAGGTACCTATAAATACACAGAATGCACAGAGTGCACAGACTCTAGAGCTCGTCGTGGAAACCCGAGTCGTCGTCTCTTCCCTGGCTGTACAGGTTGCTCGTGATGGGGTAGGCGGCGTTGGACAGGCGCTCCTTTGCCTCTTCAAAGTCTTGGGCCGTCGCCGTTGCCGCGTACTCATCGAGCCAGATGGTGGCCTCGTTGACGGCGTCCCGGATCTGTGTGGTTGGGCAAGTCAGGTCAGACCAGGTCAAGTCAAGTCAGGTCATGCCAGGGGTAACCTACCGTGTCCCGGTCCTCGGCGCCCAGCTGCCCGCCCAGCCCGTCCTTGTCCTCGACCTGGCCCTTGAGGCTGAAGGCGTAGTTCTCGAGGCTGTTCCGGGCCTCGATGCGCTGGCGCGCCTCCTTGTCTTGGTCGGCAAACCGCTCGGCCTCGGCGATCATTTGGTCGATCTCGGTCTGCGTCAGCCGGCCGTTGTCGCTGGCGATAGTGATGGACTCCTGCTTGCCCGTGCCCTTGTCGTGTGCCGACACGGTGAGGATGCCGTCGGCGTCGAGCGAGAAGGACACGTCGATCTGCGGCACCCCGCGCCGCGCCGGCGGGATCCCCGTCAGCTCGAACTTGCCCAGCAGGTTGTTGTCCTTGGTCAGCGTGCGCTCCCCCTCGTAGACTTGGATGAGCACCGCAGGTTGGTTGTCTGCTGCCGTGGAGAATACTTGAGATTTACGCTACAAGTCACATTTGTCAGCCAGCATACCCTCACCTCAACCGGGTCCGAGAACCATGCGGGCGGAGCGAGGAGAGGGAGAGATGACCAACCGTGGGAATCGGAGTGTTGCGCGGGATCAGCTTGGTCTAGCCAGTCAAAAACAGTCAGACTTGGATCGATATAGAAGAATGGGCAGCTGGTTGGCTCACCAAGACACCTCCCGTGGTTTCGATGCCGAGCGTCAAGGGGTTGACGTCCAACAGCCACATATCACAGAGAGTCTACGAACACAACCTAGTCAGCTGTGTGGCTGTCACAAAATACTAGCATAAGTCGATCATACCTCGTCTCCAGCAAGTATCTGCCCAAAGAAACCCATATGTCAGCTTTGTTATGTCTTGATACCCAGCGGTATCTGAGTCAACATCAGCACAACTCAGAAAAACTCACACCAGCCTGGACCGCGGCGCCAAACGCGACGGCCTCGTCGGGGTTGACGCCGCCGCTAGCCTTCTTGCCGCCAAAGAAGTCCTCGACGAGGGCCTGGATGCGGGGGATGCGCGTGGAGCCGCCGACGAGGACAATGTCGGTGACGTGGCGCCTGTCAACTTTGGCGTCGCGCAGCACCTGTTCGACGGGACGCAGGGTGCGGCGGAACAGGTCGGCGTTGAGGTCGTCAAAGGCGGCGCGCGTCAGCGTCTCAGACAGGTCCAACCCCAGCCCGGACACTAAGTTCTCGATCTCGACGCGCGCCGACAGCTGCGAGGACAGCGCCCGCTTCGCCTTCTCGGCCTCACGCTTCAGCTTGCCCATGGCCCGCGCGTCGCCCGTGATGTCGGCCAGCGAGATCTTGCCAGCGTGCTTCCGCGCGAATGATTGCGCCAGGTGGTCGATGACGCGCTGGTCAAAGTCCTCGCCGCCCAGCCGCGTGTCGCCCGCCGTCGCGAGCACCTGGAACGCGCCGTCCTCGAGCGACAGCAGCGACACGTCGAACGTGCCTCCGCCGAGGTCGTATACGAGCACTTGGCGTTCGCCGCCGACCTGTATGCACCGTCAGCTCTCTCTCTTCCCTCAGAGGGGCTACCGTCGAGACGTACCTTGTCCAGGCCGTAGGCGAGAGCGGCGGCCGTGGGCTCGTTGACGACGCGGATGACGTTGAGCCCGGCGATGGTCCCGGCGTCCTTGGTCGCCTGTCTCTGCTTGTCGTTGAAGTAGGCCGGCACCGTCACCACGGCGTGCTTGACTCTGCCGCCACCAGCCGCCGTCAGCTCTGCACCCAAGACACGTCCCGCGACACATGCAATGCTCACTTTTGGCCCAAGTAGCTCTCGGCCACCTCCTTCATCTTGCCCAGAACCATGGCGCTGACCTCCTCGGGCGTGAACCGTTTCATGCTGCCGCCGCCGACCTCGACCTCGACGACGGGCTTGTCGCCCGGCCCCGCCGCCACCGTGAAGGGCATGTGTTTAATGTCGGCTTGGACTTCCTTGTCCGAGAAGCTGCGGCCTATCAGCCGTCTTTGGACCAAGCACCACCAAAAGCCGTGTTAGTTTCTGGCGGGTTCGCCTTGGGGGTTGGGGGGAAAGGCTGATATTGGTACTGACTTTATGTCGTAGATCGTGTTTGTCGGGTTGTTGGCGAATTGGTTCTTGGCCGCGTCACCTGTTGGGCATTGCGCGATCAGTCTCGACCAACTAACTCATTCACACACACACACACACACACACACACACACACGGAGGTGGAGAGAAGACATACCAACGAGACGCTCTCCGTCCGCAAACGCAACATAGCTCGGCGTTATCCTGTTTCCTTTGGTTGGGACAGCCTGTTAGTGCTAGATCCTTGAGTTGTCTACGTGCGTGGCAACTAGACACTCACCTTGGTCGTTCGCGAGAATCTCCACCTTGCCTGCCTTCATGACTCCAACGCACGAGTACGTGGTCCCCAGGTCTATGCCGATGACGGGCTCGTGGGACTCGACGGTGCTGGCGCTGACGGCTGGGATGGCCGCGAGGGGGCAGAACAGGATGAGCAGGAAGGCGAGGAGGCCGATGCCCAGGAACGGCACCTTAGACCGCGACTGCCGTCTTCTTGCCATGGCTTTTGCTCGAGCTGGTGATGTATTCCGGGTCATATTTTTTGTCTCTCGTTCCTTGCGCGTGCTAGTGTACTGGGGGCGGTTGGGATTGGTCGTTGATGTAGAAGAGGGCTGGCTTGATATGGAAGGGAGAGATACAACAAGACAGACCAGGGAGATACTTGCACTGGTTATAAGGCCAACAAGGCAATGTCTTTCTTCTTCTCTCTTCTATCCGTGAACTGTCCAGAGAAGCAAAAGGACAGGAAAAGGCTTGCCCTGCAGAGCCCGTTCTGGAGGCCGTGTTTTGGGTTGGGGCTGGTCAGGGGCAGCGACGGCCACTAGCGACAGAAACATCGGACTCTTTTGACGCAGGACAAGAGGACACATCTCACTATAATTTCTCGAGATGCCTTGCCGCCAACAACGGCTCAAGCGCCCAGTCGCCCAGTCGCATCTGCTCTGTTGTTCTGATGGTCTCAATCCTCCCGTCTGAGAAGTGCGATTTCCGAGATCGTGACTCACGGCCTGAACTTGCGACCAGCAACCAACACTGCTCTCTCTCTCTTAGGCTCCTGGAAAGTCTTGATGAGTTTAAGGGACACTGCAGGTTTTCCGGGATAGCAGCATCACAAACGCAAGCGGGCTGCAGATCTGCTAACTGCAAAGACCTAGAACATCCCCAACCACAACGTGTGTTGTCTTGGCCATCAATGATCAGTCTCTAGGGGCTGGAAAGTCGAGTAGAGCCAGAAATTTCTCCCACATTTATCTCACTGCTTGCTAGCGGAAGAGCCGAGACACAACTATCCGGCTCAACCTGGGGCGGAATTCAACGTTGCAGCATCTCGCGCTCTCCCCATCTGTCGCCTGCCCCTTTCCACCGCTGGACCTCTCAAATGTTCTCAGCCCCATCCCTGATTCGCCTTATATGACTTACAACAAGTTTCCCATAGCCTCGCTGTTTGGTTTTTTGCTCTTCCTCTGGTGATTAGCTGCTCTAGGATTACCAGTTGCATGGTTGACTATCGAGTTCAGCCGAGCAAAGTCATTGCAATTAGTTACCTAGACAGGAAAGGCAGCAACCACTTCAGGCTGCCGAGGAAGACATTGCCAGCTCGGGTTTTCTCCCCATTTCACTCTTCTTGAGGAACTTCAAAGCCCAGACTTCCAGGAACCAAGAAAGTTTGAGAAAAAGGGAGAGAAGGGAGCGGCTGAGTTGGGGTTGGGCCCGCAGCAGTTCACCTTCCAAGACGCCAAGACAGAGTGAAAAGGACAGGAGCAATCAACCAGAGAAACAACAGACAACCAAAACAAATAATTAAACCAGAGCGAAAGTGAACTGATCTCAATGGCACCACCTCAAAAGCCTTCACAGTAAATCGTGCGTGCAATTGAGCGGCTGAGTGGTAAGTGCACATGCAGCACAGGACAGATATATCAAAACATTCAGCTCCAACCAACTAATAACACATCACATCGCATCCTCTTGCCAAGGCACGCAAGTCAAATCTTATTCAGGCTGGCAAGCGCATGAAACAAGCACCACACCACACACGGTAATAAGGTAGTGATGAGTGAAGTGAGTCACATCGCATGTCATCACCTAAAAAAGCTAAAATCCTTCACGACGCGCCAACAGTGTGTGTTTCCAAGTAAGTTGTTCAACGAAGCCACAACGACAAAACCAAAACGTGTTCTTTTCAAGTCTCGCTCACGCAACAAATAGTAAACCCTCTTTCAGCATCGATGAAATTCCACACGACGCTAGATCCATACAGGATCAAGCCAAAACACGAGTGAGTCACGAATTTCGAGTCCGACTTCAAGGATCTACCTTCTTGGCGGCGGGAACCAGCCAAAGGCCAACAGGAAGGACACATATCTAGGTCATCTCAGGTAGGTTCAGATCAATATTTGTAAGTTTTTCTCGATTAAATATTACTTGTGCCATCCACTTCCCCGGCAGCCGTGCGACAGCTCTCCGTCGCCCTCCCGTCTCAAGGCCAGGGAGAGCTCGAGTCTGTCGCGCAGCCAGGGTGCGCCGGGCGGGCTTATAGCTTATATATCCAGATCATCTATGTACACAGGTCGAGAAAAAAGACCCCGACCTCCAAAACGCCACCCAGTCAT